TCGATTTAAAGCTTTCGTGACTGCAGGGAATCATCATCTTTGGTTCTTTCGGTAAAGTCACGCAGAATGAGAATAAAATAATAAAATAAAAATAAGACAATAAAATTATCACGACGTTTCGGCCACAACACAAGCGGCCTTCTTCAGGTGAAAAAAGTGTCTTTTAAGCTCGGTGATAGGTGTGAAGCACCTAAAAAGCAGGATAATTTAGCACTGAAATATCTAGGGATTAGCTTGTGACAATAAAATAGCTGTGTTAAAGTCAAAGTTTACATATCAACAGAGGCATTTAGTATATGGACGCTAAAGGGCCTCCAACTACCCAACTATCATACAGTAAACCAATCTGAGAAAAAAACTAAGTCTATATTACATCAATATAATAATTGACACCATCGCAATCATTGAAGACTTGGTTCATCAAGGACTGCATACTGATGTACCCCCCTGGTGAGACATTGCTTAACCAACACATACTTCATCTGGAATGGAACTTTCTACAAACAGACTGAGGGCACCCCAATGGGCTCCCCTCTGTCTCCGGTTGTAGCCAACGTATTCATGGAAACATTTGAAACTGACGCCATCCATACTGCCACTCTACGCCCGACCTTATGGAAGAGGTACGTGGATGACACTTTTGTCATCTGGCCACATGGCCAGCCTGCTCTAGACCAATTTCTCGACCACATCAATTCCATATACCCAGCCATCAGATTTTCCATGGAGGTCGAAAAAGATGGCAAGCTACCCTTTTTGGATGTCTTAATTAAAAGGAGACCTGATGGTTCAATGAGCCACTCTGTCTACAGAAAAGCTACCCATACAGATGCTTACTTGAAACCGGATTCCCACCACCATCCATTTCAGAAGAATTCCCTCATCAAGACTCTATACCATAGAGCTCAATGCATTTCCGACCAGGAACACATTGCCCGTGAACTCAAGCACGTACACCAGGCTCTCAGGGCTAATGGTTACTCCGACTACACAATCCGCAAAGCCATCACTCCCGTCACGAAGAAGGACCCTATTGAGGAGCCACTCAAAACCATCACCTTACCCTACATTGCAGGGGTCGCTAAAAAGATCTCCAAAATCCTGAATAAACACAAGATCCAGGTCCGATTCAACACAGTACATAAAATCCGTGACCTGGTCCCATCTGTAAAGATATTGTTCCAGACATACAGTACCCGGGCGTTTACAAAATAAGTGCCTCTGTGGTAGCAACTACATTGGAGAAACCAAACGACATATCTCGGACCGCATCTGCGAACATAAAGCAGACTTGAAACACGGTAGGACGAACTCTTCTGCCGTGGCAGATCACTGTTATAATTCAGTGGGCTCACATGACATTGACTTCTCCAAGACGGAGGTTCTTTGCAAGCCAACCGGCTACCATGAGAGATTCGTCCATGAGGCCATCCATATATACAAGCACAGAGACAATTTCAACTGAGAAGATGGATTCTGGCTTAGTAACCATTGGAAATATGTTTTTTAAACCATTTCGGTTCTTAATTAATTGTATTTTACGGTTACCGTCAGACCGCAGCTCTTTCGCTGACATTGCCTCTCAATGCCTCTCACACCACGGTTAATGGTATGGTTTATAACATGGAGTATAACAACGCATTATGGCTGTCTCTCTCCCTCTTCCGTTCCCGAACATGGATTGACTCGTCCGTCTGAACGAAGCTCGTTCGTTGTCCGTGGTGCTGCTCGTTGATGAGAAGAAAAACCGCCATTGTTCTCAATATGGCATTGTGATATATAACGACTTATTGTTGGTGGCTCAGCTGATTGGAGAGTATAGAGAGTTTATTGATAACATTGAGGTATAATTCTTAGCTCTTTCGGTAAAGTCACGTTGAAGGGAAACAATAAAATAATAAAATACTCCATGTTATTATTTTATTGTTTCCCTTCAACGTGACTTTACCGAAAGAGCTAAGAATATGAATTACTGCAGTTACGAAAGCTTTAAATCAAAACATTGAGGTAGTTTATATTTTGGTTTTCATTGGTTTTACTATATGGTATTCATTATATAGTGTAGTGTATACCCAGTTGCTTTGTGATTAATAGCTCAGCTTATTGAAGAATATATTAAGTACAATTATTATATTGATGTAATATAGACTTAGTTTTTTTCTTACATTGGTTTACTGTATGATAGTTGGGTAGTTGGAGGCCCTTTAGGGTCTATAAATGCCTCTGTTGATATGTAAACTTTGACTTTAACACAGCTATTTTTTGTCACAAGCTAATCCCTAGCTATTCCAATGCTTAATTCACCTGCTTTTTAGGTCATTCACACCTATCACCGACCTTAAAAGACGCCACGATTCTCAGCAGCACTCATTGAAGCACTGTCGTGCCGACAGTTCTGTTCTTTCACCTGAAGAAGGCCGCTTGTGTTGTGGACGAAACGTCGTGAGAATTTTATTGTCTTATTTTTATTTTATTCTCATTCTGCGTGACTTTATCGAAAGAACCAAAGAAGACGTTCTACTTAATTAAATATACTTTTAATAAATGTTTTCTTCTACAACATCAGAGTGCAGCGCCACATTAAATACGCACTACAATGACAATAGTTTAAATCGATTTGAAGCATGTTTTATATATATTTTTGGGGGGGGGGCAGAGCTTTGTGACGTCATATTTGAGGGGGGGTTCTGACTTTTTGCGACGCCGTGTGACGAGGGGGGTCAAAAATCGTCCAAAATCGCGTGACGTCATTTATGGACGGCCCCCTATCCCTTTTCCCGCGGCTCCTCGCTTTCTGCCCCTCTTTCTGCGCTCGCACCTCGTTGGGTCCTCACGGTACTCCTCTACACAAGCACCGGAGCGTGCATCGCATGCACCGGAGCCGGGGGGGGGTGGAACAATGCCGAAGTAGTTCATGAACAAAGGAGGCCATCGTGGCCAATGCTGTTGACGCTACCGCACCCTGCCATCACTTCCTTCTGCTAGATCCTACAACCCTTACGTGAAGTTGGCACACGTCCTCCCAAGATTTCCCTTGTAAAGGAAATTCCAAATGAGACGGTGGGGGGGGGGGGGGGCATCGCCTTCCCCCCCACACTTGTTTTTTTGTTTGTTGTGGTTGCACCCGATTCAAGAGCCGAATGGCTCACAGGGCTATACCAAATAAATGAAATGAAACTATGAAACCAAAAATGAAACTTGGTAGAATAGGGGGCGCATTGTTTTTAGCCCTTCCACTATTAATCAGGGATTTTAAAACAAATCCCCTTTACTTTAAACAGAGGTATGCATCAACGCATTTGACTTTTTTTTACCGCAAAAATAGCATCCGTTGTACAACATCGGCATGTTGACAAACATCCTATTGACGTGTACATGCGATTACCCACAATGCTCAGCGACAACACGACGAGTTTTAAACCGGGACTCGGCTCTTTGATTTTGGCCTTCGACCTCCACGTGCCACAACTGAAGATGGCATTTAGAACACGGGAATGCCCTGGTGGTACATCGAGAGCCAACACGCCAGCACCTTTCATTTGTTGAAGTAAACCTTAAAAATAAACTACGTTTAATTTTTATTTATTTTTACCGGTTCCACCGAGCTACTTGGGGGGGGCATCCATAAATGACGTCACGCGATTTTGGACGATTTTTGATACCCCCCCCCTTCGTCACACGGCGTCGCAAAAAGTCAGACTCCCCCCTCAAATATGACGTCACAAAGCTCTGCCCCCCCCCCCAAATAAATAAATAAAACATGCTTCAAATCGGTGTGGACCAATCAAATTCAAGGACAGTGCATATTATTATCAGAGTTGTCTTTTTTGTTTGCATTTTGACTGCTTGTGTTGTGGTCATTGCAAACATGATGCCTTGAATAAAGGTGTCAGTTTTTGTGCCAGTTAAAAGGGTAAAACCTATTCCCATATGCTTCAAATCTATTAAAACTATTGTCATTGTAGTGCGTATTTAACGTGGCGCTACACTGATGTTATAGGAGAAAAGATTTATTAAAAAGTATATTGAAGTGGAACGTATTGTATATACTGTATTTAAAGTTGTGCATTTTGATGCGACGTCACATTTAACAACCACCCCCCCCCCCTCGTCACACATCGTCACAAATGTCTGACCCCCCCCCCCTCCCCCTAGGTGCGTGACGTCATTTATGGACGGCCCCTTGGTTCGTTTTCGGAAGCGACCTGGCCACAAACGATAGCTCAAGCGAGGTGGCTCCTCGCGTGGCGATGTACAGCAGCAGCAGCCGAATACTTCTGAACGCGTGGTGTCAACTCTGAACGTGCAGGGGGGGAAACAAAAAGACCGGGGCGATGAGCTAGTGGGTTCGATCCCAACGCTGACGCCTACGTGGATTTTTCTCTGGGTCCTCCGGATTTTTCTCCCCTCCACATTTCCCAAACACGCGTTTCGAGTATTTGGCTTCAATAAATGTCCACTTAAGCCACTTCGTTGAGCCGTAATTTGTGGCCAGGTCACTTGTTTAAAAAAAGAGTTGTGTAGTCCAGTGGGCCTTACCTGGTAAATAAAAAGTTTGGTTTCTAAGTTTAACTGCGAGCAGGCTTTCTCCATGCAGCGTTATATGTCGAGACCACTCTGCACGATCCGTGTGGGTTTGTTGGAGACACCCAGGATCAATATCACTCGCCAGTCATACGAGCCACAGCGCTCGTAGCTCAGAACATGAGCCGCTAACGCCACGCGGCTTCCCACTTCACAATAGCCACTTAACATTCGTAACAATTACATCCTAACTATTTACGATATAGTCGACCGACATGATGTAAGTGGACCAAATTGATATTTGAGGACAAAGCGAATTATCGCCCGTATAGCCTTTAACAGAATGTTGAAGCAAGTGCCGTTAGCGATCACCTATGACGACCTTTGTATTTGAGGACACACACCGCTTTCATTCCAGGCATCTACAATTGGAAATGCCTTTATAACTAAACAAAGCACAGCCCAAACGCAGTGGCCACAATTTAGTATAACACAAAAAAATATCCATGGATGCAAATTTATTGTAGGCTCGGTTCTTGAGCGGAACACATTTAACAGGTTACACAGCACCCGAGTGGAATGCCGCCGTTATGTAACGGCGAGTGCACTGGACTTGCAACACAAGAGGTCACCAGTTCAATTTCCCCCACGCGGAAGACGAAAACCAATGGGAAAGTTTGTTTTAATCCTCCGGCCTCGGCCCGCCCCGGATAAAAATGATGCATCACGGCGAGTCCATACCGGCAACTTGCGGCACGCGGAGCCGCATGCAGCTCTTTGACTGCTTAGTGACGTTGTTTAATCAAGGACCACTGTCTAGTGAGTGCTTATCAAGGATCACCGTCACATATGCACAAGCATTGCGGCTCTTGAATACTTGCATTTTTTTTTACCCAATACGAAAACACATTTCGCTTCATAATAATTCATAACATTTCGCTTGTTAGTTTGGTTGCCGACCTCTAGTCTAACGATCGCCTCGCGCTCCTCCATGCCTGCCCCCATCTACCCCCAGCAGCATATATATTCGTGCACCGCAGTTCTATGTTGAACTTCTTTCGTACCGTACGTAACCACCAACCGTGCTAATCGGAGGTGCGGCGTGTGGTGGGGCAGTGTGGGCTACTCCCACCTCTTTAAATATGGCCTGGCCAGAATGGAAGAGTAGGCCAAATACACTATATTAGGGAGGGGGAGGAGGTGAAGTATGGTTGAAACAACCCACATGATCAACTCTGCAGGGGAGGCCTTCACCTCGGCAGTGGTTAGCCAAGTGGTGGTTTTAGACTATTTTTAGCAATGTGTATTAATGCAAGGTTAGATTTTTTTGCGGAATAAATTACCGATTGGAAACCCAACAGTGGACAGCAAGTGTCACCGGGTCTGCGGGGGCCTTAGTAATAAGACTTAAAGTTTATAAAAGAGCCCTTAACAATCGTTCTCAGGGCGATGACACGGGAGTTTAATAACCTGTCCAGAGTTTGCTCGTCCTCAACCAACGGTTGCTGAAATGAGTAACTCCCGCAAGGCCGTGCGTGGGAGCCCGATAAGTTGCGGTAAAAATAAAAAATCCTTTCCTTTCTCGACGTGGAAACGGTCAGATACGAAATGAGACTTGGTGATTGTAATTGATTTTCTCTGCAACGACGCTCATGATTATGTTGTGCATGGGAGTGGGTACCGTGGCTAGTCTAGGGGCACGTAATGGATCGTTCCCGCAGGAGATTCGATGCGTCATCGCGACCGAAGGTGGTCAGGATTAGATTTACAATGTATTGTTGACATACATTTTTCATCTCGTGTGTACCATTTACAGTTATATTTGTTCACTTTATTTTTGAACAATCTCGCACTCAATTTCATGCAAGTATTCTACAGCAGGAATACATTTGATTTAATTGACACATTGATGCATCTTTCGAGGGTAGGAAATCTCAAGAGGACGAGTGAACTACATGTGAAATGCATCGTCTTGGGCGAGTGGTGTATCGCTACACAACCGACAACAAATTGAGACATTAAAGGCCTCGGGGAAGACGCATTTCCCAGGACAGGTTCCTGGGAAACCAATAACAAGTGGAAAAGCCGCTAGTCGTCGGGAAGGGAATGCAGAATTTTATTTTTTTGTGGGGCGGTCCAACATTGGGATTACGCATGACTACTGTAGCAGGGTCAGGTCTATACGTATGGTTATAGGTAGGGTTCTGGATCGCCAGCGTGACTGTGGTTGGCTCGATTGGTTTGGGCATGTCGAGTTGGGCAATGTGGTTCGGGTTCGAGATTAGGGCTGGTAAGCTAGCACGGTTAGGAATGGGGCTGGGCGTACCGAAGCAGGGCATATGAAATGACTGTGGCTTGTAAGGGAGATCTTTGGGATGGTTGGGGGGGCAACTTTGGGATCGAGTATGGAGAGATCAGGGGGGGTGGGTGACAGTGTTCTCGTAGCGAGTGGAAGTCACTTGCGTTGCTGCTGCTGTGGCTGTGGCTGCTGTTTGCCTCCCGCGTCGCCACCGTCCGCGCCGTCCTCCGTGTGCGCCATGCGCGTGTACACGTGCTGGCCGCGCTCCCGCACCACCTTGCGGATCATACCTGCGAACCGCACGCGTTGCACCACGACCCACGCCCGTCACCCCCACGCTTCCCTCCCCCCCTCCCACCCGTCGATTATAGAGGCACGTGGTGTAAAGTGGCTCAGCGGTAGAGAGCGGCTTGCAATCTGACGCTCGTGAGTTCAAAATCCTGGTTGTGGGGTCGGCTCGGCCCATCAACCCCTCCCCCCTCTCTGGAGGGCGATAAAATAACAACCACTTTGTGGGGAAAGTAGACAGTAGTTGTGCCATGTGTGGGGTAGGTCTCACTTCACCGCGTCATAGGCATGTGTAATATACACGACTGCTGGATCAGGGCTGCCAATGGGAGGGGAAGAGAGCCGCGTCATTCCTCATTTGAGAATAGGAAGAAAAACAGATGCGTTTAACCTGGCGTGCTACAATCAATTATTGTCACGTTGTACGCGATCGGTTCACAGGACCTCTGGAGTGGTCTCCAATGGCAGCATGTGTACCACGGTGGTAAAAAAAAAACCCCATAACGGCCTCAAATCAAAGAAGCGCTTCCCAAATTAATTCCAGTCTAACGCACCGCAAGGCTAGCAACCCCCATTCAGATCTATCATTACACACAAAAACGCAACGATCCCTCCCCCCTCCCTCTGTTATAGCCTTTTAAGGCTGTAAGGGGGGGGGGCACAAGCGCATGGCAATGAACGCACGTGCTGTAAAAAAATCTCAGCGAACTTAAAAACGATTTGTGGAAAATTACCAGGAGCGCCGCATAACATTTTAATCCGACAATCAGAGAGAGAGAGAGATTCTGCCTCATCATCCACACTGCGCCCCGCGGTGTATATGTATTCAGCCAGAGGGCAAACACTATCTCCCCCAGATAAAGTTACTCCCAATCCCCGTGACAAATCCCCCTCCTGTAGAGGAGCCAACTTCTGTTGGTTACCCACGCATGGGCCAGGGGAAATCTCAAATTCACCAGGCACAGGCGAGACGGGAAGAGGCAATACACGACAGCGTATGTACTTCTTTTGCACCGTACGTAGCCAACCGTGCTAATCAGGAGGCGTTTCACAGTTAACCAAACTCCAATCCTCGCTTTCCGCCACCAGAAGTAGTTATGGATGCCAATTTGAAGATAGCCGTCTCTCAAGGTCAACTGGGACGAAGCAAAGACAAAGATCACCCGTATAATCTTCATAGGCCGTGGGGGGAGGGGGGGAGCAGGGACCTTTAGCGAGCACCTAATCGAGGTTGGCACTGGGCGGCAGCAGCAGCGGGCGTGTTTTGGTCACCCCACCAGGGTGCTGTCCGTTTTCACGGTGCTGATATTTTACAAACCGCTACCGGTACCCTTAAGTTTCGGCGGACCTCGGGAAGACCCACGGCCAGATGGGTGCGGCTTCATCACGCGCCACCAAAGTTAGCGAACAGCTCAGAGAGCATCGATAAGGCGGTCGCACCTAGCCCCCCCCCTACGCCACACGCGGCGGTGGCAGCAGTAGCAGCCGAAGCAGCCGTAGCAGCCGACGCAGCAGCCGTAGCAGATGACGCAGCTGACGCAGCAACAGCTGACGCAGCAACAGCAGTAGCAACCGACGCAGCTGACGCAGCAACAGCAGACGCAGCACCTTTGTCGCACAGGAGCTGCAGGGCTTCGCGCGCCAGCGACACGCGCAGGTGCAGGCGCTCCGACACCACGGAGGGCGTGATGAGCCGGTAGTTGGGCACCTCCTTCTGGAGCTTGTCGAACGTGGCCGTGTCGAACAGTACCATGTTTCGCAGCTTCTCGCGCGACACTTGCTTGGACCACTGCAGCAGAGTGCGTGGACGAGAGACCGCAATTGGAGTTGGGGGGGGGGGGTATGGGAGCAGTGCACAGTCCAAGTTGTTTATCTCCCCCCCCCCCCCCATCATCCAATTCCAGCCAGTGTAATAATCCCATCAATCCACGGTCGCAGCCTTCCAAGATACTTTGCAGGGCTGTACTTTTACCACCCACGATGTTGAAAGGCCTCTCCTAGAACAATATTTTTCCCAGCATGCAGAATTCGTTTATTTCGAGAGGCGACCCTCGAATCCGTTTTCACCGTTCAAAACGTCAGCAGCAACTTGTGGATATTGCCGACAATGATTGGCCAGGCAGGTCGTTTGGGCGCGATTGACCTACACGACGAGTAATTATATTTTGTTGTTGATGGAACAGACCTTTGTCTGTACCTGCATTTTCAGCTGGTCATTAAGAGAGTCCATTCTGGTCAAACCATTATCAGTGCCCTACCTTATTACAGCTCAATTCAGATCTTAGTGGTCACCCCGTTGCCCGTTATACGAATCTCAACGTTCATCCTAGAAAGTCCCATCACAAAGGAGAACACAAAAAGACTAAACAAATGTGCCCGTATTGAAACGGCTGTACGCCATATAGACCTGAAAACTACATTTCCCTGTACAAGCATACGGGGTAAAACCTTATGGGTTGACGGGCATGCGAGTCTGTGAAGGCGGGGAGCATACAAGTGCTGTGCAACAAAATGGATTTCGCTGCGAGGTCCATTACCCACACCATATCTGTACCAAAAAAAAAAACCCACAGGCCGACGAAAATCTGAAGTTACCGCTTGGCCACGTTTCCATTAATCCGTGGGTCAAACGCGCCCTCAAAATCCACTTTCACAGCCGCAGTAGCGCGCAGCCCCACGCAGCCGCGTCCCCACGACTACTGGGGGAAGCGAGACGGCTCCGTGGTCAGATCGGGCCCTCTCGAGAGGCAGGCCCCACGGCTCCCAAGCGCCTTTAGCGGACAGAACCTGCACCGCACTACAATCTCGCACCTTTTTCTTGGCTTTTCCACCGGTTGTACCGGATTTTGGCTTCTTTTCTTTAGCGGCAGCCTTGCCCGCCGTGCCCTGCTTCTTTGTGTCTTTTAGAGGCTGCGAAGGGTTTCAGAGTTGGCCACAGGACACACCGCAAGGCAAGGCACGCGTTTACATCGAAATGTACAGATAGAGAGCAGCATCTAGGGATACAACGGGTGGCCAAACTGGTGTCTTCCGAGCCGCATGCGGCTCTATCGAACGTGCATTACGTAGAACACACACGGTCACATTAGTAACGGATACTGGATGTTTCCCGTGCTGTACCGAAAGCGGTCATTATATTACACACACGCTTGGCCCTTTGCAGAACTCACGGCTACTTTTTTGGCTCTCGCTCCGTTACAGGTTGGCCACCCATGATCTAGGAGGACATTCGTGGCCGGGATAAGAACACGTGGAGTTACTCATCACAGGCAGCGGAGTCGATTTTAAAGAGAGGACACGGACCCGGCCGCCCCCTGGCCAAGGCTTGGGGTGGGGGGGGTATCTCGGACGACGACAACGAAAACGTGTGAACAGGTCTTGCAAGGTACCAGAGGGAATCATTTCAACAAAACTATGCCCAACGTTAATAAGGAGACTCGGCATTCAACGGAGGAGGAATGGCAAAAACGGCACGGACGAACGCGTGACTCGCTCTCGTCGTGGCGAGCAGCACACCACGACCTCGAGCTGTCGAACACGCATTGCTGCTGCCGTTACGCGAGCAGAGAATAGTAAATCCATCTGTAGCGCACCCCCCCCTCCCCCCCATTTACGTAGCGCGTGGACTCGATTTCTCAGCGGGGAACGATAAACACAAATGGAAGTTGTATTGTTGCGCAATCCACGATTTAAAGTCCACAAATCTCACGGAGAGAAATTCGAAGCAAAACTCAAACGGCTCTTTCGACAAAAAAAAAACTCATCGTCGCTAGCATTCAGATCCACGATCAGTCCGCTGCGGTGTTAACGATCAACGTTGCCACACGCAGCAATGCAACAACTCGAGATGGTCAAGTCACATTTACACCTATAAACGTTTCGCCTCGTTCCCCACCTCAGCAATGCCATTAATGAGAAACCGCATGCAGGATGTTACGATCTTTCAAAAGCAGGAAATGACCGCTGGTGCGAAACATATTGTACGTGTCCACGTTGGCGCTAGCAGCACGAGCAGGCAGTGCAACGAGTTATTAGTGGAACCAACATCATGGGCTATTTGAACGTGCCAGGCAGTCGCGACTATAAGACTCGAGAGCAAACGGTATCGTACCATCACTGCAGTGAGAATCGAGACGCATTCAGTGAGAGGGGGGGAGGGGGAGCGAGCGATTCCCAGCTGCCATATATACACACACACACGTGTAGGAGGTGTGTAATGACGCGTCGGCTCTTCGATTAACATCGATTCATTGGCCTCATCAGACATAAAATGAACAACGCTGCTCCAACGAGTCAGGAAAATAAACACACATGGTAGAAAGAGTAAACAAAACTATTTTTTTTAAATAAATCGACGCCTTTAATAGTATCGTATATCCAATTAAATGGAATCGTCGGTTGGAGGATGAGGGTGGGGGGTGTTAATCTGACACCCCAAATTGTCCATGAGACACCCACTTCATTGCCTGTCACGCAACCACATCAGCCCCCCCCCCCCACGTGATGATTCGTTTCACCTGAAAACAATGTAAGGACACGTGCCGTGCACTCCAATCGTTGCCGAGAGCACGTGCAATTGATGAAGAATGTTAATTGACGCGTGATTGCGTGCAAGTGGGGAGCGGTAGTGGAGCGGTGAGCGCTACGCTGTGCTACGAACCCGGGCGACCCGATTTTGATTCCCGCTCACGGCCAACAGCAGTGACAGCGATTATCTGAAAAATGTTGATACTACGTGATTTTACCGAAAGAACCAAGAATATACTGCTACTGCTGTTATGGAGTAACTCATGCAGCCAGCTATGGCTGCAAAGTTTGGTCGTACATGTCATGTAGATCGTTTATTGTTAAATTTGAATCACAGTTCCCATGATCACTGTTACATGGTTTTTTATCGCTTTATTTTGGTGATTTTGAAAACGTTTTGGTTTAGCCATGTTTGTTGTAGTACAGAGTTAGCCTGATAACTTTAATCTGAATTGTCTTATGGTTGTTATTGTTTGACTTGCATCCCACTGGGATTTTTGCACACAGTGTTGAAATACGGTGCTTCTTCTGGAAGACTTTGCTGTTTTTCCCTGGATTTTTCTGTTGCGTGCAGTCACTTTAAGATGTTTCTTGTTCATGTTTTTGTTTTGTTGCGGTTGCACCCGAGTCAAGAGCCGCGTGGCTCACAGGGTTATCTCCATATATATGAAAGGCAAAGTTGTGAATATGTGTCTGTTAAAAATGTTTAGCGTACTTCCCGACATGCAACAAACTGGAAATTTGCCATGTGGGTACTTTCCTGACTGTACACCACGCAAAAGTTATAAAAATACACTTTTTTTTAGGGGGGGGGATGGGGGGAGCTCAATAATGCATATATATCTTGCACGGCAAGTGAGCTGTGACGTCAAATATGTCACGTGACCCGCGCATGTGGAAGCGTAACGCATTGTAGTGTAGTGGTTAGCGCGCTGCGCTACGATCCCGGCGATCCGAGTTCAATTCCCGCTCACGGCCACCACCGGTGACAATTATTTTAACCTGGTCCTGATCGTCCCCAAGGTCGACTCAGCCTCAAACGAGTAACTGCTGTGGTGTGTGAACATCGCCACTGGGGAGACAAAGGAGGCCGGGCGTGGTGCTGATCACCCAGCCCCTCTTGTGCCGCGCGCTCGCTAACAGCACTTGCCCCAACAGCCTGTTAAGGCTCTACGGGGGATCTTTGATTGTATGCAATAGTTGGGCGGTTGGGGCGATGCACGCCTGTAATGATCTAAGCGCTGTGGGAGGCGGATCACCCATTGATGTTGCGCCCCCTGTCCGTGGGCGTGCAGGAGGAGAAGGGGAGTAGTACCATGCCCTGGCTCGCCAGGAGAAGGCGGTTCCAGCAAACCGCGTTCCACACGTGAAAATAAGAACAGGGGTTTTTAACCCCTAAAGACAATATAACAGGAGGCTTTCGATTTAAAGCTTTCGTGACTGCAAGGATTCATCTTCTTTGGTTCTTTCGGTAAAGTCACGTAGAATGAGAATAAAACAATAAAATAACACTAAAATTCTCACGACGTTTCGGCCACAACGCAAGCGGCCGAAACGTCGTTAGAATTGTATTGTTATTTTATTGTTTTATTCTCATTCTACGTGACTTTACCGAAAGAACCAAGAATATACTGCTACTGCTGTTATGGAGTAACTCATGCAGCCAGCTATGGCTGCAAAGTTTGGTCGTACATGTCATGTAGATCGTTTATTGTTAAATTTGAATCACAGTTCCCATGATCACTGTTACATGGTTTTTTATCGCTTTATTTTGGTGATTTTGAAAACGTTTTGGTTTAGCCATGTTTGTTGTAGTACAGAGTTAGCCTGATAACTTTAATCTAAATTGTCTTATGGTTGTTATTGTTTGACTTGCATCCCACTGGGATTTTTGCACACAGTGTTGAAATACGGTGCTTCTTCTGGAAGACTTTGCTGTTTTTTCCCTGGATTTTTCTGTTGCGTGCAGTCACTTTAAGATGTTTCTTGTTCATGTTTTTGTTTTGTTGCGGTTGCACCCGAGTCAAGAGCCGCGTGGCTCACAGGGTTATCTCCATATATATGAAAGGCAAAGTTGTGAATATGTGTCTGTTAAAAATGTTTAGCGTACTTCCCGACATGCAACAAACTGGAAATTTGCCATGTGGGTACTTTCCAGACTGTACACCACGCAAAAGTTATAAAAATACACTTTTTTTTAGGGGGGGGGATGGGGGGAGCTCAATAATGCATATATTTCTTGCACGGCAAGTGAGCTGTGACGTCAAATATGTCACGTGACCCGCGCATGTGGAAGCGTAACGCATTGTAGTGTAGTGGTTAGCGCGCTGCGCTACGATCCCGGCGATCCGAGTTCAATTCCCGCTCACGGCCACCACCGGTGACAATTATTTTAACCTGGTCCTGATCGTCCCCAAGGTCGACTCAGCCTCAAACGAGTAACTGCTGTGGTGTGTGAACATCGCCACTGGGGAGACAAAGGAGGCCGGGCGTGGTGCTGATCACCCAGCCCCTCTTGTGCCGCGCGCTCGCTAACAGCACTTGCCCCAACAGCCTGTTAAGGCTCTACGGGGGATCTTTGTCTTTGATTGTATGCAATAGTTGGGCGGTTGGGGCGATGCACGCCTGTAATGATCTAAGCGCTGTGGGAGGCGGATCACCCATTGATGTTGCGCCCCCTGTCCGTGGGCGTGCAGGAGGAGAAGGGGGTAGTACCATGCCCTGGCTAGCCAGGAGAAGGCGGTTCCAGCAAACCGCGTTCCACACGTGAAAATAAGAACAGGGGTTTTTAACCCCTAAAGACAATATAACAGGAGGCTTTCGATTTAAAGCTTTCGTGACTGCAAGGATTCATCTTATTTGGTTCTTTCGGTAAAGTCACATAGATTGAGAATAAAACAATAAAATAACACTAAAATTCTCACGACGTTTCGGCCACAACGCAAGTCCCCGTCTTCAGGCTTATTGTGTTATTTTATTGTTTTATTCTCATTCTACGTGACTTTACTGAAAGAACCAAAGAAGATAACAGGAGGCGTTGAGATGTTGAAAACACCTTTTGCAAACACCTTTTGCAAATACCTTTTTCAGGGAATCAAGTGTGCACTTAGCACACTTGATTCGTGGCAAAACGTGTAAACAAACGCGCTCTGATAATTATGTACGCGTTGACTTTGAAATCGATCGGCTTAGAGCATCTTGAATGGCCTTTTCTCTCACCAGCGTCGGGCCAGAGAACGCCACAAGGCGAACCGTGCAAATTCATGGCAAGTATCGGAGCGAATTATATCTCGACTTGGGCAGTTTCATCCTTTGATACTGGCGACAAAAAAGGGTTCCCATAGATTACACTTGTCGACAATTTTATAGACGTCATCTGCGTCGGTGATGACATGTGCTGTTTATTATGGATTTTGACGTGCTGAAGTCAAATATGACAATTAAAACAACTGATTGGCTACTGTTCCCAAGATATTTTAAACATTTTTTTGTTTACATTTACGTCTATGTATATTGTGTAGATAGTAGAGTTTTACTAAAAAAAACTAAAACCTAGGTCTTTTCATGTGTTTATGGTTGCTTTACATGATAACATGTCACGTGTCCTGTTCATGTAACACTTTAAAAATCAGCAACAGGGTTGTATACATAACATTTATTATGAAACAAAAGGCAAAAAACTATTATGTATGAGTGCATAGTTTAGTCTCTATTCAGTGTCGACTCGGCACTTCATGATTTGTCTCTCGTATTCATTAAATGAAGCATCTCCTGTCACTGTCCAGCAATAATCTGCAAGCATTGATGGGCTCCATTTGCCCTGAGAGCGTTTCTCCATTGTCGCAATGTCCCGGTGACGTCTCTCGCCATGCTCGTCACTCAATGCTTTTGCGAACCTTCACGGCCTCGCCACGCCACAGTCCACTGCACTCGGTCACGCGAGCTGAACTTGTCCGCTCCACCTCTCCTGCGCGGGAGCCGCGCGCAGCCTCTCCCCTCTGGCCGTGTCGTTTCTTTGCTCGGCAGGGGGCAGGCGTGCATCGCCGAGACGAACGTAAATCGACGTGCACGACGTTATTTAGTATTCGTTGTGCGGAGCCACAGGTAGTATGTCTGTGAAGAACACGTGGGCTGTTGAAATATGCTGCGATCGATATTCTCCACAGCGGCGCGAATGATTCGTTTGAGTCACAGATGAAATTATCTGCGCCATGAGACGCAAACAAAAGACCTCAACATTTTCTTTGAGATGCGAGACAAATCGAATTTTGCTTCTAATATATTATATGCAAGTACTCTATATTACTGTACGTGTATATACATACATGCCATTAATCAGGGGCGTATCAATAACATCTGTGTAATCGTGACACCCTAGTCGGGTGGTGGAAGGTTTCACGACAATACCTTCGACGTAGAAACTACCACGCGGTCCAACACAACACACAGATATGGATCGAGCATGGAGAGGTGCGTTCTCGAGGTCTCACGAGCGAGGCAAACGCGGGTTAGAGAACCAATTAAAAACGTCGCATTGACTGTTGTTTAGTAAATTACGTTG